CATTTTGCTTTTTTTTTCTTATTCTTAAAAAATATTCTCAGTACAAGTTCTTCATAAGTTATCTGTCTTACAAATTTCTTCTCCTGCTTGTTGGCATACCTTTTGTTACTCTTTGTATTTTTATGAATAGAAATACTTGATTTTAATGTAGATTAATTTATCAATCTTTTCTTTACAATTTTCATTTCTTATAACTTGTTTATCTTTCCTTACCCTGAGATCATGAAGATATTGTGTTGTATTATTTCTTGAATCCTTTATAATTTTATCTTCCATATTTAGATCTTTAAGGGATCTGGATTTGACTTATCTGTATAGTGCGAAATAGAGCTCCAATTTTCCTTCCTTCCCTCCCATTCTTCCTTCCTTTTTTTCTTCTCTCCTTTTTCCTTCCTTCCTCATCATATCCCTGCTCATTCTCTTTCCTCTTTTCCTGATTACCCAACTTATTGGATAATTATTGAAAAGTTTTTTTCTTTCCCTGTTGATCTGCAGTGCTACCTCTTTTATATATCCAATGTTCATATATTAATCTGTTTCTGGACTTTTAGTAAATTATATTGTCTATTGTCTTTTTCTCTGTCATATTGGTTTAAATATTAATAGTTTTACAATAGTTCCATTTTTTTTAACTTCAAGACTATTTTGACTCTTTTTAGTTCTTTGCATTTCTATGGTAAATTTTAGAATCATTAAGCTTCATGAGAAAACCTGTAGGAATTTCGTTATAATTGATTGCATCTGCCAACAAATCATTCTTTCAAACTGTGTAACTCTCCATAAATTTAGATCTTTCTTTAGTGCCTCTCAAAAACTAAGGTTTTCCTTTTAAAGCTTTTTAAAAATGTCTTTGTTAGATATATTTGAGGTACCTGATGATTTGTAATGCTGTTGTAAATATTATTTTAAAATTTCATTTTTGAAAATTTATTGCCATATAGTAAGTTGATTTTTATATATTATCTGTAGATTCTTTTGGATTTTCTATGTCATGTCTGCTGTGAATAATGACAGTTTTGCCAATTCTCATACTTATTTAAATTTTTTTTTGCCTTATTGCATTGCAGATTATGACTACCAGTCCAAAGTCCAATATAATTTTACTTTACATATTTTGAGATGTAACTAGGTGTGTAAGAGTCTTAGAACTTTATGAATTTTAACTTTTATCATTACAAAGTGGCTCTTCTAGTACTTGATATCTAGCAATTTTTTTTTCTTAACATTCATTTTATTTGTATATTTATGTTTTAGGTATATCCTTTGGTCTTTTACCTGAAATATTAGATTACTAAATTTTATGTAATAATTAATGTATTATTAATTTCTATTTATTTACACTATATCCTCATTGCTTTCTCCTTTCTTGCCTTTGTAATTTTCTCCCATACATTCAATGAATTTTCTCTATTATTTAGGAAATTATTTAGTAGTATTATTCCATTAGTGATCATCATTGTGTGTGTATGTGTGTGTGTGTGTGTGTGTATTTTAACCTGGTGAGCATCCACCACTGAATTATATTTTTATCTTGAGATAGGGCTGCTAAGATGTCTCAGCTGGCCTTGAACTTGGGATCCTCCTGCAGTAGCTACCTGAATAGCTGGGATTACAGGTGTGTGCCATTGCACCCGACTTTCAATATTGTTTTAATAAGTTTCTTGTTAATGTTTTTGTTTTGATTTCTAAAAGATGTCTTGAGTGGGAATACTAAGATTTTTCTCTCCATGGTAGAGATACCATTTCATTGTCAAATTCCCCCTTTTTGAGGGGGTCAGCCTTCAGTCTAACTGAAGCTCTGTGAAGGTCATCTTTTTACTCCTGCTCAACTCTAGTTGCTTTTAAGATTTTATTGTCTCACCAGGAGTGGTGGCGCATGCCTGTAATCTCAGCGGCTCAGGAGGCTGAGGCATGAGGATCTGGAGTTCAGAGCCAGCCTTAGCAATTTAGTGAGGCCCTGAGCAACTCATCAAGACCCTGTCTCAAAATAAAAAAATAAAAGTGTTGGAGATGACTCAGTGGTTAAGTTGCCCCTGTGTTCAATTCCTGGTACAAAAATAAAAATAAAAATAAAAAGTCTTATTGTCTCAGTGGTCTTGCAGTTTCACTATGTTGTATTTAGCTGTGGATGTCTTTATATTTACCCTGATTGGAATTCACTGAGCTTAACTCTGCTTATTGATATTTTTTATGAGTTCTTAGAAATTTTTAGCCATTAATTCTTCAAAGGTTGAGTCTTCATTTAAAAAACAAAACTTTTTTTCTCCTTCTGGAATAGGTTAGACATGTGTGGTACCTTCTTAGTTTTGTCCTCCGTATCTCCTATTTTCTCTTTTATGTTTTTCATCTCTTTATGTATTTGTATTACATTCTGGATTTTTTCGCATTATTGCTCTTTTCAGATGTTTAATGTTATTTACCAAATTATTTTTAGTGATTTAAATTTTTTCTGAAGGTTTTTAAGAATTTATTTCATGCTGCCCTTCTTTTCCTAGAAATATATCAAACGTGCTTATTTTCTATTCTATGTGTAATAATTTCATTGTATGGAGGAGGTTTATGTCTGATTCTTCCATCTATTATTCCTGGTGGCTCATGCTGTTGGGAGGACTCATTTCCTTATGTATTTAGAAATTTTATGCTGTGAGCTTCTCATTTTCCCTGTGGTTCCACATATGGGGTCTTACAGGGTTTGATCCTCCAGAGAGGACTTGTTTGCTTCTCTCAGGTGACTGGGGACACTTCCAACTTGGGATCATGTTATATTTTCTGCTGGAGGTTTTAGTGTACTATTCAGATGGTGTATCTTGGCTACAAAATTGAGGATCTACTCCTAACTACAAATTCTCTGGCAATTTTTTTCTGCTCTGCTTAGGAGAACCTTTATTTTAGATTTGCTGTTTTATTGAAGCCATTTGGGGATCCAACTTTATGGGGAATATTTCCTATTAGATGTCCTACCTTGGGAGATCTTTTGAGGCAGTGAAAACATTTAGGCTAACTGGGCCTAATACCTGTAAGATAAAAATATTCCTTAACTCATGGTTGCATTTAATATTTGAAAAATTGAATCCAACATGTCTAGTTTTCTAAAAATAAATATATTCTAGGAACTAGTCCTTGAACTGGTTGATGTAGTGATTTATTTATTTTTAATTTTTTTAAATTCTAGATGGACACATATCTTTACTTATTTTTATATGTGCTGAGGCTCGAACCCTGTGCCTCACACATTCTAGGCAAGTGCTCTACTACTGGGCCCCAACCCCAGCCTCATGATTTATAATGGAAAGCTTCCTGATATTGAAGCTTTGTGCATTTGTGCAGTAAACCCAATTCTTGCATGGGTTTACCAACTAGTCAGTCTTTTGAAGTGACTAGGTCCTAGTTGATACTATGTTATTTAGATTTATGAGAATTCTTTCTTGTATGAAATTGAACTTAATCTCGTGTGTGTGTGTATGTATATACATATATTTCTTAAGAATATACCCTATATATTCTTTAGAAAGAATGAAGTGTGTATTTGTTTTAGCACTGTCTTTATTGGGTTGTTGAAGTTATACATGCTGGCTAGCTTTATAAAAATAATGAATCTCTGCTGCTGCTGTTCTCTTTCTGGTGTCTTCTTCCCACCCCACCCCCGTCCCCCGACCCCCCTCTTGTGCTGAGTCCCCGCTCTGAAAATGAGGGAACCTCAGGCCACCTCTTTCTCTTTACCAATGATTTTTTCATACTCTTACCACAGTCTATCAGGTATAGCAATTTGGTTTTAGAGTTTGGGGGAAATAGAAGTTTCCTGAGTCCCTAGGTTCAGTTCTTCCTCAGTTCCATCTATAAGGCCCCCTCCCACTTGACACTGCAGCCACATTGCCCTCCCCAGGTAGTGCACCTGAGACTTTGCTCTAATTGGCCCTTCTGGAGTGAAATTCATTAGTTTAACAACTATTTATTTAGTGCCTATTATGTATCAAGTACTGAGAAGACTATGATGTATAAGACAGAACAAGATTCCCACTCTCATGAAGCTCATAGTCCACTATGACAATCAACAAACAGGTATAATACATGTTGTGCCAGATGGTAATCAGAATGCAATGGAGAAAAAGAAGGCCGTTTGTGGCTTTCTAGCTTGTTTGGGTATCTGCAGGCCAAGTTCTCATTGTCTCCTTCCCCATACCATGAATTCTTTAAACAAAATTAGAAAAAAAAATAGCCATTTTTTGTGCAATTATTTCTTGGTCAACATTTTAAACTATATTGATAGGATTTTAGTAGGGATTGTCTTGAATTTATAGATGTGGGACCAACATGACTGAGTTTGCCTATCTGTGAATATGGCATTGGCATTTTCCCTCTAAACTCAGGTTTTTTCAATCATCTCCATAAAGATCTTTTACACATTTTGAATATTTTTATTGGACTTATCTGAGGTTCTTTATGGCTTATTGTGTAGAACTTTTCCTACTCAGGGGTGGTTGGTGTACAGGGAATCACAGAGTATAGGTCAGTATCATCTCCTTCCGGTCACTCCCTGCTCCAAGCTTTGGATACTTAACTTTGCCTCAGTGGGCTTTGTCATTCTGGGCCTGCAGCCAGTCCCCCCTCTCCTTCAGGACTCCTTCTAATGCACTTTGGTTTAGGTTCATCCTGGGGTTGTATAACCCCTAACCCCAGCCTATTCTAAGATAGCTGCCCTTCCAGCTCTTCTGCCAGACTCACCAGGGGCTGCTATCTCTCAGATGGGGAAGCAAGGAGCCAGGCAGGGCCAGCTTTGGGTCCATTCTGGATCATTAAGGCAGATGGTGAGAACCCTGACTGATTTCCTGTGGTGCCCTGCCCTTCCCCATCCTCTCACCTGGAAGCACCGGCAATGGAAGATGACCCAATGGACCAGACCACTGGCTGCTCACTCTGCTGGATCTTTTAGGAGCTAGAGATCTGAGTGGAAAACTCCAAAGCCAGTTTTTTTTTTCCTTTTATTATTATTATCATCGATCAAAAGGTGCTTACAAAGTGTTGAGAAGAGGTACATCCACAGCTCTGAGGGGAGGCCCAAGAGGCTACCCCACCCTGCCTTGCCTCTGGAGTGGACATCATAAGGCATTTCACACGTTGGTGATTTCACTTCTGTTTTTTTTTTTGTTGTTGTTGTTGTTTTTATATAAAACCAAAACCAGTCCTGTAGTAGAAAGAAAAACCCCCGCAATGAATTTTCAGGACCAAACTGAAGTGGGGAGGATTGGAATGGGGGGTTCTGAGGTCTGGGACTGAAGTCACAGTGGTCCAGTGCCTCAAGGTTGGCAGAAGCTGCTGGAAGGGATAGGAGGAGAGGGCAGGGCACAGCTGACAGGAAGCCAAACTCAGACAGGTATACCCTGTCTTCATCATTTTTCACTTTTATATACCATAGAAATTTAAGCAAAATAGCTATTATATATATATTTATATATCATATATATAAATTAGGCAAATAAAGAATCAGGGGGAGCAGAGATGGGGCACCCCCTGAGCCATCTGAGGAAGAGTGCCAGGTCTCTCATGCCCAGGTCACCAGCCCATGCTGAATGGGGGTCTGTTCATTATTGCTGATTTGGGGCCTGGTTCTTGGGGGTGGGGAGCACCTATGGGCCCTGCCTTCTAGCCCTTCCTGGCCTCTTTGGTTGTAGGCACTTGCCCCAGCATGGTCAAGGCTAGGCAAGGGGCTGCTGCCCTCAATCCACATGGGGGATACCCTCAATGGCCCCTCTCCCCCATTGTGGGTTGTTGCTCCAGAAAGAGACCCTTTGTGCTCTGCTGGGCCTAGACAGGCTCCTTTCTGCTTGGTCTTTGGGCCCTGGGCTCCTAGTGGGTGGGCATCTCAGATATAAATATTGTGTTTAGCTACAAAATTCTCCCAACTCAAAGGGGTCTGGCTTCCTGATGTCTTTAAAAAGGGAATTCTTGCCTGGACAATTTTGTGGCAAGAAAGCACACTTGGAAAGCTGTCTGCTAAATGCTGTACTAAAAATATTTACTAAACATCATGGCTGGAAAGAAATGTAGATCATTTTTTTTTCTTTTCTAAAAAAGTCAAAAGAGGTTCCCTAGGAAGGGCCAGTACCTCCCTGGATTGGAGGCTGGTGACCTGGGCAGCCATGGCCCCAGCCAGCCGGCCTGAGTTGTGATAACTGGGGACTGGGGTGCCCATAGGGTCCAAGTCCATGGTGAAGGGGCAAGGGTGACTGGGTGCACCTAGGGGCTGGAGAGAACCCCGGTCAGCCCTTCCTCCTTCTAAGGTGAGAGTCCCCCAAAAGTTTTTTTTTTTTTTGTTTAAGAGGGAAAAAAAGGGGGAAGAAGTGCGTGGGTGGGTGGGGATATATTCAGTACTAAATTGAGTGCATTAAAAAAAAAGTGGACCCAGCTGTGCAGGCGCCTATATTTGCTGCAAGGGTGGCGCTCAGAAGATGTTGGGGCACATGTGCCAGTCTTGCCTCTCCTTGGCCTCCCAGTAGCCACCCTTGTATATGCAGGCAGTTTCCCCCGTCAGTGGGTCCAGCCTCTTCTCGAACCACAGCGGCATGTACCCGTCTGACTCCTTCTCTGCTGGGCAGACACAGTGGGCCGGTGGGTGGGTGGCCTGCTCTCCAGAACCCACCGCTTCCCTGCAGGATCCCCACCCTAAGCACCCCTTTCGCCCTCTGGGACACTCCTCCTTCCTTTTTCCCAGGCACCCCCTTGCACCCTCCACCTGCCCCCCCCCCCGGGGGGGGCACCCTCTCAGCCCAGCCTTACCTTCCTCTATTGTGCAGCCTTGGCCATGGCCAGACATACAGGACTCCATTCGCCTGCGCCGCGACAAGCGTTGCTTCTCTTCCAGCCGCTGCTTCTCAGTGTTGGCCTCGTCCCAGCGCCCCTTCTCCATCAGCCGCTGGTCGGGCCGAAGGCGGCTATCCGTGGGCGCTACGCCCTCCTCCAGCTCGTTTAGGGTTAGGGCCAGCTCCGAGAAGTAGTACATGTTTTCTGCGTTTTCCCTGCGGCGGCGTGAGCGGGACCGTGCGCTGTCCCCAGGCCACCTCCATCGCTGGTCCCAAGCCGCCCCCCAGCCCCTCCCGACCCTCCTGGCCCCTCACCTCCTGGCCTGGGCGGACGTTTCCCTGCCCCATTGTTACTTCTGATGAACCTGCCGGACAAAACCCACCATCTGCATCTAACTCGCCCTTTGCTTCCCGCACTTCGCCTGTGCTCCACCAACCCGCAGCTGCTTTGCTACTTTAGACTTAACTGAGATCAGCATAAAACCGTTACCTAATATCTTCGTTGGTACTGCATTAACATCTGCAGCATAACAACCTTTCTTTTTGCATGTGATGTTGGTTATATGTGCCTTCTATTTTGAATATCCGTGTCAGAGGTTAGTCAGTTTATTTTTGAAGATCAAACTTTGTTGCTTTCCAGCACCACAAAAACAAACCCAACAAAAACTATTTTGCTCCTATTTTAGGGTTTTTTGGCCTCTATTTTGCTATTATATTCCTTCAACTTTCCTGGGGTTAATTCTGCTATTGTTGTTTTTAACTTCTTGAGATGGATGCTTAGCTCATTATTTTTCAGCATTTCTTTTTTTTTAATACAATGTGCTACACATTTCATTCCAATTGCTGCCTTAACTGAATCCTACCACTTTTTATTTAGTTATTTTTGGTACTGGGGATTGAACCCAGGGGCACTCAACCACTAAGCCACACATCCCCAGCACCCTCCCCCCTTTATTTTATTTAGAGACAGGATCTTACTGAGTTGCTTAAGTTCTGCTAAGTTGCTGAGGCTGGCTTTGGGCTCATGATCCTCTTACCTCAGCCTTCAAAGCCACTGGGATTACAGGACTGTGCCTCCATGCCCAGCTGAATCCTACCACTTTTGATGTTATTATCATTCAGTTTTCTTTTATGATTTCTATTATATATTTTTGGACCTATGGATAGGTTGGAAACCCCTAGCCTTATTCATATTGGGGGATCAAATCCAAAGCCTTACTAGGCAGGCACTCCACCACTGAAATACCTTCCCCATCCCTATTTAAAATTTTATTTTGAGATAGGGCCTTGGTAAGTTGCCTGGGCTGGACTGGAACTTAAGATCCTTCTGCCTCAGCCTCCCACGTAGCTGGGATTATAGTGTGTGCCAGCAAATTTCTTAAATTTATAAACACATGGAGACTTTTCTAGTTGTTTTTTCTTGCATAATTGCTTTGGAGTCAGATGATTTACTTGGTATAATTTTTGTCCTTTGAAGTTTTCCTATGGCAAGGTCAATTTTTTTATACATTTATTTATTTTTATGTGGTGCTGAGGATGGAACCCAGGGCCTCACACGTGCTAGGCGAGCACTCTATTGCTGAGCCACAACCTCAGCCCAATATGGTCAATTTTTGAGACTGTTTCGATGCATTTGTTGGGTGCAGTATTCTATAACTGGTAGGTTCTGTTGTTCAAATGTATCCTCCTGAGGTTTTTTCCTATTCCTAAGAGACTGATATTAAAATTTCCCATTTTGATTGCATATCGGTATTTCTCTTTATATTTGTACCAGCCAGCTTATGCTATATGTATTTTGAGGTTGTGTTTGGTAGAAGATATTTGGATTTAATACTCATCTTCCTGGTGAACCGAGCTTCATCATTATGAACTATCTCTTTTATCTCTAGTATTTGTTGTAAAGTTTGTTTTGCGATATGAATATAGCTAAGCAGCTTTTGTTTGGTATTTCTTTTTTTCCTTTTTTTTTTTTAAGTGATGCTGGGGATGGAACCCAGGGCAAGTGTTCCACCCCTGAGCTATAACATCCCCAGCCGTCATTAGTATTTATGTGGACATATCTTTTTTCATCCTGTCAAACCAATCTTTCTTTAGTTTCCAATTTAGATGCTTTTCTTGCAGACCGCATATAGTTGGATTTTTTTGATTTCCAAATCTTACACCTATAATGGGAATATTTAATGTAATTACAGGTTGACTATTCCTTATCCAAAACACTTAGGACTAGAAGTATTTTGGACTTTTTTGGAATTTGGAATATTTGCATGTACATAATAAAATATCTTTGGGGTGAGACCCAGTATAAACACAAAATTTATATTTATTCCGCACTGTACACACAGCCTAATTTTATTTATTTTTTATTTTTTAAAGATATTTATTTTTTAGCTGTAGATGGACACAACACAATGCCTTTATTTTTATATGGTGCTGAGGATCAAACCCGGGTCCCGCCCGTGCTAGGCGAGTGCTCTACTGCTGAGCCACAATCCCAGCCCCAGCCTAATTTTATGTAGCATTTTGAGTGTAACTGTATTTCTGTGACCTGTCATATGAAATCAGGTGTGAAATTTTCTACTTGTGATGACTTATTAGTGCTCAAAAACTTTTGAAATTTGGAGCATTTTTGGATTTCAGACTTGGATTAGGTACTAACTTGTGTTGATATGTTGTGTTTAAATCTACTATCTTGTTTTCTCTTTTTGTTGTTTTTGGGACCTCAGGCACACAGGTTTGGATTAGTCATAATCCTTAGTACATGATACTCTCTTTTAGCTCTTACATGGTCTGCTTTTTATTAATCTAATGTTACCACCATAAACAAAAGGTAGGATCCTGACAAAAACCTACATCTAACCATATGGAAAACTCACCAATCCATTCCCTTTTCAGATAGCCATCAGCAAGACTCCTGGGTTCATCAGTCCCCTCCTTTCCTTTTAATAGAATTTTATTGTATCTTTAAGTATTTTTAAGTATCTCTCTGTCTGTGCACACACACACACACACACACACATATATATATATTTTATATATATATAATATATATATAATATATATTAGTTTTGAACTGTATAAAAAGAATATATGACATATAATATTTTGGATTTTTATTTACTTAATATTGTAAGAGTTATCTATATTGTTGCATGGTGCTGTGCTTCCTTTGTTTTAACTACTGCATAATATTCTTTCCTGTGAATATATCACGGTTTTTCATTCAATAAATTCCTGGGTTGTTTCCAAGTTTTTTTGCTATTGGATTAGTCTTGTGTGTGTGTGTGTGTGTGTTTCCTGTTGTACATTAACAAGACTTTCTCTTGAGTTTATACCTAGAAGTGGGGTTGCTGGGTTATTACACTTCCTGATTTTTCATCTTTTTTTTTTTTCCCTTTGGTACTGGGGATTGAACGGAAGGGCATTACAGGTTTGTGTCACTGCACCCAGTGTGATAATTCACCTTCAGGAGGTAAGGCCAAATGGTTTTCCAAAGTGGTTGCACAAATTTATACTCCTATTAGCAATGCATAAGAAATAAGAAATATTGTGGGTCCTCATTTCTTCAACCACTGACAGACTTTTAAAAATTTTACTAATCAAATAAATTTAAAACAGGGCTGGATTGTGGCTCAGAGGTAGAGTGCTCGCGTGAGGCACTGGGTTCCATCCTCAGTACCACATAAAGTAAAATAAAGACATTGAGTCCAATAACTAAAAAATAAATTTTAAAAAATATACAACAGTATCTCATTGTGGTGGTTTTGATTTGCATTTCCTCAGTTAGCAATGATGTTGATTGTGGTTTTCATATAATGTCTGGTCATATATGTTTTTTCTATGAAATTCTTGTTCATGACTCTTGCACATTTTGCCATTGGATTGTTTTTGTTCGACTTGTTGATTAGAAATCTTTTATTTAAAAATTGTTAATTATGATAAAATTTTCTGTATTTTTGACACTAATCCTTTGTCAGGTGTAGGTATTGTGGCTACCTTCTTCAAATTTGTGTTTTGTCTTTTTGCTTTCCTTTTTATTTCTTCTTCTTCTCCTTTTTTTTTTTTTTTTTCAGTATTGGGATTAAACCCAGGGCCTCACATATGCTTGACAAGTGTTCTACCACTGAGCTGCATCCTCAGCCCTTTTTTTAAAAGAAATTATTTTGAGACAGGGTCTTGATAAGTTGCTCAGACTGGCCTAGAACTTGGAATCCTCTTGCCTAAGCCTTCTGAGTAACTGGGAATATAGGTGTGCACTATGCCTGGCACCTCACTTTTTAAAAATTGTCTTTTAATGAGTAAAATGCTTCTTAATAAACAAAAATGTTTTATATAGTTGAATGTACCAATGCTTTATTTGTATCTTGTTTAAGACATGTTTTTCTTAAGTTCTAAAAGATATTAATCTTTTTTTTACTTAGAGTATTAACTTATTGTTTAGAAATAAGTCAAACTTAATACTTAACCATAAGGTCATTGTCTAGAGTTGATTTTTGTTATAATGTAAGGGAGGAAATCAGTTAATCTTTTTCCAAATATATAACTGTTTTGTCTCACATCCATATGTGAACAGCCCCATCTTTCCACATGATCTGATATGCCACCTTTTTCATATATCAAAGATACATGTATCCATGGAGTTGTTCTAGGCTCATCATTTCACTCCACTTTAATTTCAAAGTAGGTTTTGATATCTACTATGGTTAAGTACTCTTTGGTCTTCTTCAGAAATGTCTTTGCCCTTTTATTCCTCAATATAAATTTAAAAATTCTAATACCCAGTTCAATGGAGATCCTTATTGGGATTTTATCTACTGATTCTTTAAATCATGACATCTTTATAATACTGAGTCTTTCTATCTATGAATGTTGTATTTTTCTCCATTTATTTAGTTCTCCCTTTGATATTTCTTAGTAAAGTTTTACAATTTTCTCTAGAGGTCTTGAATGTAAGATTTAGTACAAGGTCCTTAATATCCTCTTATATAATTGGTGCCTTAAAGTGCATTTTCTAGTTGTTTGCTCTTAGTATGTGGAACTGAAACTGATTTTTGCATATTAATCTTATGTCTGGGCACATCTATTGAGATGCTAATATGACTAATTTGTGGATCTTCTAATATAAAATCATTCTTGCATATTCTGGATAAATTCAATGATGGTAGATTGTTACTTTTTGTACACTGTTGAATTTTCTAATATCTTGTTTTGGAATTTTGCTTATGTAAGTGAAATAGGGTAGAAATTTTATTTTCCTAATTACTGTCTTTATCTGGTTTGGTATGAAAGTTATTCTGGCCTAAAAGTATAGAGACTATTTTCTCTCCTATGATCTGGAAGATTTTATTTAAAACTGGGTTAACATATTTCTTTTTTCCTTTTTTTATTTTTGGTACTGGGGATTATATACCCAGTCCTTCTTATTTTTTTACTTTGAAATAAGGTCTCACTAAGTTGCTTAGTATCTTGCTAAATTGCTGAGGGTGGCCTTGAACTTGTGACCTCCTGCCTCAGCCTCCCAAGCTGCTGGGGTTATAGGCATGTGACACCATACCCCACTGGTATTTCTTGAAAATTTTGATAGAATTTACCTGTAAAATTATCTGGGTCTGTGTTTTCCTTATAGTAATTAAAAATTACTTCTTTGTTTTAATTATTATAGGGTCATTGATGCTTTTTATTTCTTCTGGAGTCAATTCTTGTAAGTTATATTTTTCTAAAACTATATCCTAATACTATCTTTATATTTTATACGTCATGAAACCTTTTTCATTAATAATATTAATTTCCATCTTGATTAGTCTTAGCAGTAGGTTTCTCTATTGTTAGTTGTTTTTTTCCTCAAAGAATCAACTTTTGACTTTATCAAGCTTCTTTATGTTTCCTTTTTCTATTTTATTGATTTCTTCTTTTAGGGGGTATATGTGTTGAACTTTACTTACCACAGAAACTCAGAAATGAAAAAGCTACAAATTTAGAAACTGTTTAAGGCAATATATTAGTTTTGAAGTATTACCTTTGTAATACTTCAGTATATATCCAGTTTTGAAATCTTGGCTGTCTTCAGTTCTAGATATTTAAAATTGCTATTCTAATTTTCTATTTTAATTATGGGCTATTTAGCAACTTAAAAATTGTTTCTAAATATGTGAGGATTTTATCATTGTATTTGTAATGTCTAATTGACTTATGATAGATTGTAGTTTGTCAAGGCTTTCTTTAGGGTTTAGTACATGATTGATTTTTGTATACAGTTCCATATGTCCTTAAAAAAAGTATATTCTCTGATTGCTGCATCTATAAGCCTGTGAATGATCCTGTTGTTTTGATCCCCTTCATATTCTTCCTTTTTAAATTTTAACTTGACCTATCAACAAGTGAGAGGGGTATATTGGAATCTCCCAATCTCCCACTATGGTGATGGATTTATCAATTTCTCTTGGGTATCATGATGCAAATTTTTGAGGCTGCTTTTTTATATGCATAATGTTTGAAACTTGGAACTTAATAAATTTACCCCCTTTTCCTTCCTTAATAATGTTTTCACCTTCAAGTCTATTTTAGCTGATGTTAATATAGCTATTATAACTTTTTTAGATTGATTTTCACAACATCTCTTTTACTTTTGTCCTTTGCATATTTTTGTCTTATAAGGAGTATATTTCTCGTTTTTTTAAAAATCCTATCAATATTTTGTTTTTTAACTGGTTTCATCTATTTATATTTATTATGAGCATTAAAATGCTCGAATATTTCTACTATGTTAATTTGCTGTTTTTGTTTGTAATATCTTTCATTATTTTTCTTCTTCTAATTAAAAAACCTATATGCATCTTCCTTTTAATAAGAACTTAGCATTTCTTCATATTCCTGGTGTCTTTCCCTTTCTTCCCACATACTACTGTTACCTAGACTTTTAGTTCTGCATTATTATGGGAATATTTTCTCTTTTCCTTTGGTCTTTGTAATTGTTTTATAAAATCTGTTTACTTCATGTGTCTAGCACAACATCTTTTGAAATTTTTCCCTCCCCATTTTAAGATATTATGTCTAGGGGGCTGGGAATGTGCTTAGTGGTAGAGTGTTGTTTAACCTGTGTAAGTAGCATGCTGGAGGCCCTGGGTTTAATCTTCAGTTTATGTGTGCCAAACTTTCTGCTTTCTGTATGCCTGCCTGAGGTTTTTTTGTTTTTTTTTTTTTTTTTAAATCATATCCTCATATTGTATCTTAGTTGGATAGAAAAATCTACATTCTAATTTCATTTTCTTCATAACTTTGAAAATATACTCCAGTGTTGGCTGTTACTAAATCTGATGTTAATCTGAGTCCTCAGCCTTGACTAAAATCTTTTGGAAGGTATTAGAATTTTTTCTTTGATGTTCTCAGTTTTGACCCTGTGGTCTAACATTTTTATTTATTTCTCATCTTTGCCATTCTGTAGACCCTTTCAATTCAAGGTCTTTCATTTCTTTTCTTTCATTCGGGATAACTTTTTTTTTTTGGTGCTGAGGAATGCTAATATTAGCACATTCTCTTCCATTAAACCACATCCTTAGCCCTCAGAAAGTTATTGTTATTCTCTTTAACCATTCTTCCTCCTCTCCATTTTTTTTCTTCCTTTCTTCTGAGTTCCCAGCTAAATGTATTATTTTAGTGGCTACCCTAGGAATTACAGTATCCGTACTTCCAATAGTCAAAGGTCTTGACCTACCTCCTGGGTAGCATAGGGCCTTCAAGCAGTTACTTCCATTTATTTCTCTTCTGACTTAATGGAGGTAACAGTAAATAAATGGAGGTAACAGTAAGTAAATGGTGGTAACAGTCTAAAATTTAAAACCCCATGAGACATTATTATTTTTGTTTATTCACTGTTCATTTAGATCCACATTTTTACTCTTCATTCATTTATACATCTTGGCTCTTTCACCTGGGATTAGTTACCTTCTTCCCAAAGTATATCCTTTAATGTAGATCTGGTGGCCAAGTGAATGTTTGTTTTCCATAAAAGATCTTTATTTCAACTTTATTCTTTAAAGATGGTTTGCCCCGGCAATGTGTCTCTTAGCACATGGAAGATATTACTCGGCTGTTTTCAAGTCCTCAGTTTTGTTGATGAAAAGGTGTCTGTCAAGGTGATGTTCCTCAGCTCGTAATTGCTTTAAAAAATCTAATATTGCCTAATATTCTCTGATATAGTTCCATCAGTCTCACTGTATAGACTTAGGTGTAGAAAATCCTCTGCTATTTGCTCTTCAGAAGTGGTCTCTATTCCCTTCTAGGACTCTGACTAGAAGTGTTCTGGACACTGCTCTCAAACTTGCATGTGAATGCCCTGGGGACCTTATTGAATTGCAGATTCCCATTCTGTCTGGGGCAGATTATGTACACTAACAAATCCCCAGGGTATGCCAACAAACCTACTCTGGGAACTTCACTAGGGTCACCCATAGGCCTTCCTCTCTAGCTTCTTAGGTTCTCCAGGATGTCTCTTTATGTTACAATGTGAGCATTCACCTATATTCAGGTGATGGATTCATTCTGTTAAAACTTTCCATGAAGTTCTCAACTTTGGTTATTTTCTTTTGTAGAATTTCTATTTTGTTCTCTTCAGAATCTGAAATTACACTTATAATTTTCTGTTTCCTGCAAGTTCATTTTTATTTCTCAGTCATGGAAGGATTATGTCTAGTCACCTTGTCTCTGCATAGTATCTCTTCTCTCCAGATAGTTTTACATTCATTTTCTCTGGCTTCCATACTGGGATGTCAGGTGCATGATATTGTTCTTTGCCCACATGTCAACTGATCCCTCCCAACCTTGTGTTTCTTGCTGGGTGGGGGAAGGAGAGTCATCTTCCTGTTTACTGCTCACTAGCCTCCTTTCTGTTTCTCCCTCAGTCCCTGTCCCATATCCTGAAGAGGGCCCCTAACCCTTACTCACGGCAGTGGGTACTTCTTCCACAGCAGTTTGGCTGGCAGAGTCTGATATACTGTCTTCTGCTTCCCATCAGAGCTGGAGCTGCTGGAACTACTGTGCACAATCTTGGAGCATTCCATCTGCTCATCCCATGAGCCGGACAGCACATAGTGGGCCTTGCCCTGGCTGTCACTCACCACTCCGGTCACCTGTGGATATTGGCGGGACTCGTATAAGCACACATCCTAGTATGGGTCTCCTGGGGTGCTGGAAGGTGGTCCTATTTACCTTTCGGGGTGCCTCTTTGGAGAAGTAGCTGTAGGGAACAAACTTCAGCTGGCACCGATCATTGGTCTTATGGTTCACAATCTCGATATCCCCTGACTGATGAGAGAAGATAGTGGTCAGCGTCTAATCCCCAGGCCATATGCTCCCCTCCCAAGGGTACCCAGCTCTGACCTGGTCGATCCAGAGCTTGCCCACGATGATATTGTGCACAGTTGAGGTGCTCTTCCTCCACACATAGTGATTCCCACTGGCCTGGAATTCCAAGTGGATGGCACCTGGAGGCCAGGTACATGTCAGAGATCATGGTCCTGGCATGTGGGGTCTACCACAGGCCCAGGGTCTCGAGAACCAGAAGATATTTGTATGGGCTGAAAGTTGAGGAGTGGGACAGGCCGAGGCATGTGGGTGGCAGTGGGGGGAATACCTACAGGGAGGTCTCCCCTGAGAGAGCCCCAAGTTGGTTTTTAGGGTCAGTAGTGTCCTTTTTGTTCTAGGAGCACACAGATACCCTGCTCACCAAGTGGCATGATAGAGATGTATTTCCCCCGGAACTTGCTGGCGATGGTGATCTCTTGCCAGAGGCTCCAGCCATGCTTGGAGAACACGTAGTGGGCAGCTGAGGGAGGGTGGTGGCTCACCTGGGACCAGACCAGATGGGTGTGAGCATTGCTGGACATGGGCCCATACCATCTTCCTTACCAGGCAGGGACAGACTGCCCTGATTCCAGGACACATCTCTGGAGCCACAGGAGCAGGCCTGGCTGCTCCTCTTGGTGGCCTTGGCCCAAGACAGGTCCCTGGGAAGGAGAGAATCCCGAGTGGAATGGAACCCAGGTGACTGTCCTGGGCCTGCCCCAGCCATAGTAGTATGAGATGGGCCTGGTGTCACTATGCCTGGCTCTTGGACTGTGAAACAGGGGTGATGGTGGAGGCTGTGACTCCAGGATGTGCCCAGAACTGGCTACGTTGAGGGCTAAGGAAGAAAGGGTGATGCTTTACCAAAGCTTCCATGCCCACTTTCTCATTTAATCCTCACTATACACCTGGGAACATGTATGGTATTACATGGAGGGAGAGGGTCCCGAATGGCAAAGCCATTTTAACCAAGGGGCAGAGTCTAGCCTGGCTCAAGGGTAGAAGTCATGTCAGTGTCCTGCCTCAGGCCTCTTCTGTCGCCCATACGTGGCTCCAGCCCCCCTGAGCCTTCCCCTTACAGCACACTTTACCACTGCCTTTCCCCCTAGGACACCTGCCAGCTGCCCTCTTCTGGCTCATGGCACCATCAAGTCTATCTTTCCTCATTTGACGCCTGACAGGCTCTGCCTTACCTAACCTCCTTACTCCTCAGAGCACTTACTTCTCATGGCCTTGAACAGGCTCCAAGCCCAGCCTCACCCCTGAACTCCAGCTGCCTCCACTCAGTCAGGTTCAACCTTACCAGAGTTAGCAAGCTCCTGACACCCCATAATGGTCATAGTTTCCCATTTCCACATGCAGCATCACCTCCTATGCCTTGGGAATGTAGGCCCAACCTGCCAGCTACCCTGCATGAAGGGGGGGAACTGTCCCTTAGCCCAGCTATCACCTATGGTGGGGCTACCACACATTCACTAGAGTTATCCCTATGAGAAAATGCAGGGATGTGATCACAATGTCAGGATGCTGGAGCCCTACATTATCCTTACTTTCATCTCAGGCCCATACTGTCTTTCTAGTTGCTCACACCAAATGCTTTGGATTCTCCCTGGTCTCTTCCTCATGTTCCTCATCAAATCCTTAGCAAATCTTGTGTGTCCTTCCTTCAAAACATACCCAGCATCTATACCTTCCCCAATCTTACCTGTACCTCCCCCCATCTCTCCACTGCAGGAGACCCTTGTCTCCTCCTTTCCTCCCTCTCTCTGCATCAAACTGCTCCTGGACCCATCCTCCTTTTAGAAAGAGCCAGAAGTATCTGATATACAAAATGACTGAGCACTCCCTGCAGCCCCATGAGAACAAGAGCCACATATGCCAGTTCCCCATCTGCATCTTCAACATGTGAAAATATTTGGCACATCTAGGGTACTTAATGGTTGCTGAATGAATGAATGCATTTTATTTAGGGGTTCAGGCCAAGGACCATGGGGTTACCCTTGAATGGCCCAAACTCCATACCCAAAATATCTACAAACTGGCTAGATTCACCTTCAAAACCTGGCCAGAACACCCCTATGTGGGTCACTGTAGTCACCTCCTTATGGGATTTCACAGCAGCAGTAGCCTTTTAAACTAGCACTCAGATCAGTGAACTCCAGCATTCTGGGAAAATTCCACGAGCCAGAGCAGCACCAACACCAATAGAATTAATTGCTTCTTGAATGATATGGACATCCAGGCTCAGTGTCAAAATGCCAAGTTGAGGCTCGTAGACCACTGGGCCCGAGTCTTGCTCATCTCCAGGGGATAGGGTAGAAAAGGGATGAAGATGGGTAGGAGGAAGGGACACTGGCCAGAGCAGTGTTTATCACAATGTGCATGGCTATTCCAGGTTTTGCCTGCCTGCTACTTTTCAATTCAGTGGTGACCCCACACTCTGGTCTGCCTGGACTTCTAACAGTGCCCTGCGAAATTCCTCCCACCTCTGCCACATGGTTCCCTGGCTGTGAGATGGGACCTCCCCTTTCCTGACACCAGATCCAACACTGTCCCACTAAGCTCTCTTCTAATGCCCCTCACTGTTTTCAGGAGGCCCTAGATTTATTCCTTCCATAAGAGGCCCAACTACCCAGCTGGACCTCAGCTGATGGCCCCTGGCAGGAGTTGCCCAGTACCAGCCTGCTGGGCCTCACCTGCTCACAGAGGGAGCGCAGGCCCATTTCCTCCATGCGATCCAACTCAAATGTCTCCCCTAGCATGGGGTTGAAGGGCTTGGCGATGCGGTGCACAGTGGTGGAGTAGGAGGACACAGAGAAGGCAGCCACTAGGCACATCTGCTCCACTGAGTTGGCGCAATGCACTGCCTTGTCTAGAAGGTGGTGGTACTCCAAGTCCTCAGTCAGCCGCTGGAGCATGGATAGGGGTTCATTGAAGTTCACCTTAGGTGAACAGGGAGGAGGGAAGATGATCAGACCAGATCAGATTACTCTGAATATGCACATCATGGCACCTCTGTTTTTCTCAGACATTGAGGGACATAGCTGATCTGATGATACTTTCAAAGTGAGGCCCCTTTAACATCCTGGCTGTCTAGCACCTCAGCCCTACCCTGTTACCTCCCTGATTCCTTCTGCCTCAGTTTCCTTTGCAGCATGAAAATAGCATATTTTGATGATGTTTACTGTTACTTTTCCCACTTTGTAAATGCCTCAAAGGCCAGGGCATCTGACTTGCTCACTACAGTTATGGTGAGTATTAAACTATTGGAATCAGAGAGTGAATAAGTAAATAAGGAAATCTGTGGATAGAAAAAGTGGGGATCTTCCTCATAGTCTGAACTGTGATCTAAGTTATTCTGTCAAGGGCTCCTGTGGAGGCCCCTGTGCAGGATGGATAGAGCTCAGACCCCTGTCAGCCTCTAACAGGGTCACCCTCCCTCCAGAGTATTCCCTGTTGTCTCACTCCATTCTCCCAGACATTCTGAAGGGGGTGCTGTGATTCCACTGTGCAGATGCAGAGAGAGGCTAGAGACGTGAAAGGACTTGTATGGGTCACCAAGCAAACTCTCTGGCTTGGTGCCCCAAGCCTGCTCTTGGCAGAGATGCTATGGCAATCTGGTGATATAAGGGCCCTAGGCCTGTCCTTGGAACTCCAGTGGCTTTGCTGAGCCTCCATGTCCTGGGAGGGCACTAGAGATGGCCTATAGCATGAAGGAAGACTACTCTTCTATACGCAAAGCCCACTCCCCCTTTACCAAGTCGGGACAGCTGGGATAGTGTGAAGCCTGGTCAGGGTTCCCTATATCTGCATTCACACACAGCCCTTCCCTGTCTCTTCCCTTTGAGACTGAGGACCCCTGCTCTTTGGAGGACTGGCCGATGTTGTCAGACATGATTAAATAGTTACATGCTCCTCAGGTACCATTAAGGAAATGACACCTTAGGGCTGTCATATCCCAGAGGACTCCCACAACTGCCCTCCCCTGAGCTGCCTACCGGCATAGGGATCTTGGAGAGCTCACGGCCGATGCAGTTTTTCATGATGCTCCAGAGGTTAAGGCTGTAGTTGGGTTTGTCAGGGATACGGACACGTCTCTTGACTTTGGATGAACCCTTGGACACAAATGAGGCACTATCTAACACCTATCAGAGAAGCAGAGCAGGCCTGTTAGTGGACACCAGAGCTCCTTTGATCCCCCATGTCCTTGCCCTCACCTCTGAACTCCCCAGGGGCTAGTGCCAAGTTGGCTGCTGGCACATTTCTTACAGGAAGGGCAGCTTTGCCTGAATTCAGATTTGCCTGAAATGTTACATAGGAGGCAGATCCAGGACTCAAAGGTGGCCAGAGTTCTGGGATTGCCCCTGTGGCCCCAAGCTCACTGTACTGGCTGGCTTCTCCTCATAAGGAACCCAGAGCTTGGCCCCAGGCCAGGAGCCACCTCACTTACATTGTCTGAGCTCCAGTCCACTGAGCTTGTTCCAGTTCCACCTTCAGCTTTTCTGAGGGAAACAAATGGGGAGGCAAATTATGGGTGAATCTGAAGCTGCTTTGTTACCTAGCCCATCTTTCCTCCAGACTCTTTGGTAGGATATGAGGGACAAGGCAACTCCAGTGTGCCATCTCAGATTCAGGATACTCAAGGTGGGGATAAGGGGCTCCGGCAGGGATCTGGAAATGTCCCATCCATAGGTACCCCTCTACCCCAACTGCAGCAGGCACTCAGCAAAGCCTTTGATGTCCCTGCCCTCAGGCCCCTCCTGGCAACTGAGTGACCCAGGAGCAAGAAAAAGCCTGGGAGTGGACACTTGTTCTGGGATAGCCTCATCTAGCCCTGTGGGACCCTTTCTATCCCACACAGACCCCACTGTATCTGACTCCCAAACTAGACAAGGGTTCCTGAAGGGCAGGGAGTGGGTCTGATACATCCCTGCGCTCCTGAGAGTTGTAGAATAGAGGAACACAGCAACAGGGGTACCATGGCTGAGGAGCCCAGGATCAGTGGAACCCATGGAGGGGAAAGCCGGCCCAGATAGGGCTCCAGGCATGGGAGGGGTGGACAGAGTCTGGAGGGGTGAGGCAGCCTGAGCAGGACCTTCCTGGCTGCAGTGCCAAGAAGGAGATATTGCTGGTGAAAAAGTGCAAGGAAGCTCAGGATGGCCAAGTGAGCTAATTTGTGACTAATGTAAGTAATTTTAGATATTACTGGGAAATAGAAAATGACTCTGGGCTAGAAATACATGGCTGATGAGACTTGATAACCTTTTCCGTAGAAGACACTGGGATAGGGAGGTGTTAAAGCTCAGTGGCCCATGGAGGTCCCAGCTACAAGTAGAAATGGAGTGGCTAGGGCTTTGCACTAGCCTACTCACCCCTGACTTGGCCACAGCTTGTGCCCAGCCCACCTGCCCATCTCACGTTTTTCTCTCTGTACCTGTTGGTGTGCTGGCACCCACAAAAATTTCCTGTGGCTCTGAGAGTCTGACAGCTACGTTTTTATTGCTAGTAAATGTTCTGGTCTCTAATGTATGTTTTTATGTGTATTTAGAAACATCATCAAAGAGCAGGTGTTTATGAATAATGAAAAAAAAGTTTGGAAATAGATGGGACTCCCTTCATCTTTCATCTGTTCTCAAATGATGACACTATGCAAGGAGTGGTTGGGGCCTTATGCTGCTCTGAGGCAAGGATGAGCAGCTGAGGCCTTCTGTGTCTTTTCTGAACCCCAGGCTGGAACTGGATTCAGTCAATGCTCGGTTCTCTCTCTCTATTTTTAATTAAGTGCCTGATGCAAACTTTGACTTTTTGATGCAAGGAAGAACAGAATATAAGCAAAAATACCATCTGGATAAAGTTTATAGCTGGTCAAAAGACCAGATGGAGTCAGAGAACACAACAGAAAAGGATGATTCTGGAGGAGGCTCCTCACAGGTCACAGCTGTCCCTGCTGGGAGTAAGTGCCCACCTGTCTTCCTTGGGCTGGGTGATCACGGTGATGAAGGATGTGGAGTCTTCCATGGCATCAAAGTACTCAGTATCTTCATCTTCCTCACTGTCCTCTCCTTTGGAAGTCAAGAGGCTTCCTAGAGATACATACAGAGCCACTATCTCAGTTTGCAACCTCTTTAAAAGGGCTTATCCTGCTGCCTGAAGAAATCCAGAGCCAAGGACTTGGCTCTTCCTGGCCCCACTCCCCTAACCCCTTATGCCATCTGTCCCTGACACAGGCCCATGTGTGTGGGGGTCAGGGTGTGCAGCAGAAACTAGGTGGAAACAGCCGGGGAGAGGGAGACTGAGGGTGGAGGGATGGAACAAATCCTGCTGGTCACTGCTCACCCACTTACCCTCGCTGAAGCTCTTGTTGGGGTTGGGGGGCCGGCCAGGAGCACTGCGGAAGGCCCGCTCAAGGCTGTTGTGCTGCTTGGCCAACTGTTCAATGGTTTCCTCCAAGTGGACACGCTGCTCTTGCTCATACTGCAGTGCCCGCTGCCATTTCCGGCTGTGTGTCTCAGCTAGTTCCAGGAAGTCCTTGCAGGCCTGGGAAGGACAAGTGGCCTCGTGAACTCTAGGCTTATGTAGGGGCAGGGAGGGGGCCCCTGGGGTTGCCATCTAGTTTCCCTTCCTTTTGCCAGGATGGTCAAAAACATGCCCACCACCCTCTGGTTTCCATGAGAATATGGGAACTTTAGCCTTTTCAGAGCCAACCCAGGAACTGGCACCCCCTGGTTGGCTGGCCTTAGACAGAATGCCATTTGGACAGTACCTGGTTGACGTGCTGCTTCCCCACAGGAGCCCCATGTAGCTGGAGGATGCTGGGTTATTGATCATCACAGCTGGAGCTCCAGCTTTCTGCTGCCATGTCCTCACCGTGCACTAGGACTGATGTTTGTTGCCAGTCCCTGCCCCCATGGGAACCCAAGGCAGCTCAGGCCAGCCCCAGGCTTTGCACAGAAGGAAGGAAAGCCACATTCTGTTATACTTCCTGGCCCAGAGAGGTAATAAGTCTTGTCTGGTAGAAGAACTGAGACTGGAAATTTCTACCAAGTTACTTCATAGTCTGTATCACAAAACTCTGCTTTTAAGGTTCCCCCTTCATACTTGTGGCCTACTATTAGATTCAGATTCTTTTCAGTCTTCTATATAGGTGGTTCCACCACACTTTTAAGAATTGAATAGGTCATCCTGTCCCTGTTATTACAGCATAGATGAAGGCCCAGACCTCAGCTATTCCTGGAAGGAGCGAGGTCCAAGCCAGAGATGTCTGAATTTGCTCTTTCCTAATTCCTTCTTTAACCCAGGAGGAGGGGCTGAATTTCCTGGGCCCAAGTCTGCATAATACTTTTGGGCTGCCACCCCAAGTACTGCTTTCTTAGCCCTTGTTGCAGTCACCCACATGGAGGAACACTGCTGGGTTCCACAAATGGCACATGCTGTCCAACTCTGCAGGTTTGAGATGTGATTTCTTGGAGGGAGACAGGCACATGAGCCCCCATCTGTGACACAAGGATAATACAGCACTTTCTCAAAGGGTTGTTGGGGAAACAGGACAGTGATAAGATTGATGGAGGGAGTGTTCAACAGATAAGCCCTCATGGGCCACCAGCTGCACCTGCATAGGCCCTTGGTGCTCACACTTTGAGCATTATCTCTGGTGGCTCCTCATACCTCCCTTGCTTCCAGCCCCAGGAAACTGCACAGTCCCACCATAGTCAGGCCTGCTCAGACACCAGCCTCCACTACAATGGTACATTGGTGAGTTTGGCCAGCCTCTCTAGCAACTGTGTTTGTCTCTCTTCACAGTAACCCTCTTTCCATGAGATCCCTGAAACTCAGCAGGTACTGCAGTACATGAGTTGGCTGAGTGACACCCTGCCCAGGGACTTGGACTGATGGGAATGGAAGGGGTGGAGTATCCTGAGGTTTCCTCTGAGTCAGGCACCCTAACAGAGCTCAGGTGGTTTGCCCAACCCACAGGGACAGCCTGAGCACTGGTGGCAGGTCTGGCTTGGTGATAAGGGCCTCTAGTATGAGACTTAAGGGGGATAATTGCTCAGCCTTGACTCTGATATATGTTTCCTTTAACAGTCGTACTCTAGGCATCTCCCTCCACCATCTCCCCACTAAAACTCATGTGGATTAGGCAAGGCAAGGTGGCCCCAGTCCATTCAGAAGAGGTGCAGACAGGGTCTGGAGATGGAGTGTGACCTTCCCAAAGAAATCAGCAAAACATAGTGGAAAAAGGCACATTATCAGGATTTGGAAGACCTGAGTTCTGGCAAAGCCAGTTAGAACCTGACTTGAGTCCTGTCCACCTTTCCTGGAAAAGTCCTGGTGTTGGTCCCCTCCCTACCACACCTAGGTAGGGATATATACTGATAAATGTCCTGGCACAGAATGGGGTAGGAAGAGAGAGCTTCTTGGGCATGGAAATAAATCTCCTTATCTCATGCGCTTAAAAGGTCCTGAAATTGGGAGAGGATGCGTTCAGAGGTTTGAAGGTCTGGGGATATTGTGAACTTGCAAATCATGGGTCTGTAAGACTCCCTTGGGTGCAAAGCTTCAGTCACTGGCTACCATGCAATTTGGAGATACAGCTCCAGGACTGACTCTACTATTCCCTGGCTTGTCACCTGGAGCCAAGGCCTTTAGTTCCCTTGGCTCTAGAGTGATTTCCCTGCCTCATCTAGAACCCCATCTCTCCTTCAATGCTGTAGGCCTCAGGGTGGGGGAATCTGAAAGCAGACACAGTGACAACATGCCCCAGTGGCCAGACCAGAAGGCACTTCTTTGCTGGTTTTGTGCCAGTAGGTACAAGAGGCAGTGAATGGGCAGAGTATCCCTCTAGGTACCCCAGGAACGTTCCAGACCCCCTTAGGATCCCTGTGGATAGACACCTTCATCACATTCCAAGATGGTGGACCCAAGGCTCCAAAGTCATATGGCAAGGAAGCAACAGAGTCTGATTGAAACCCAGGTCCTCAACCCAGAGCTCAGTCTACCTCCTACCTCAGACTGCTGTTTCCATAAGACTCATGTCCCCATGTTACTCGTGTTTCCCCACAGCCTTAAGTTTGGCCATAAGGTTCACTCAAGTTTGACTCAGTCCCTGCCACCCTTTTGCTGACCAAAGGAAGGAGTTCCCACACAGCTGGGCTGCTGTTTCTGGGCCACCAGTCAGCTATGCCACTGACCCAGGCAGCTGCCAACCCAGCCTCACAGCAGGTACAGAATGTACTTAAGTAATTCACTGAAGAGCACTTGTGGAGTACCCACATCTCCCTGGGCAGGCCTCTGGAAGTTCTTGGAAACTTTACTGATTCTTTGTTTTCTCTTCACATCCCCTGCCTCCAGACCTGAGGACCTGGGAGAAGGGGCAAACAGGATGGAGTCTTAAGTGGGCTCCATCCACATAGCCAGGCCACTTCCACATGAGAAAGACCACACAAGGTCCTCTTGTCTGTGTGGAACCCTGCTACAGCTGAAAGAGAAAGATGCTTCATTGTTTCCAGGTTCTTGCTGGTCTGTGGGTATCCCTCCTGGAGGCCTCTTGCTCTCTCAGCCCTAGTGTCTACTCCATCACTTCCTGTCAATCCTCTTTAGCCTCTTGGATCCTCTCTTTTTGTATGAATAGTGACATAGATGGGTGCTTTGCTCTCATATAACTCATATTTAAAACAAGATTTAAAAGAACTGCATTACAACAGTATAAAAGAGTGCTCAGGCTAGTGATTCATATCAAGGGTTATCTGGGCTTCTTAGAAGCAAAAGCAAAAGCTACTTGGGAGGCTCAAGCAGGAGGGCTGCAAGTTCAAGGCTGGCTTGGGTAATTTAGCAAGACCTGTCTCAAAATAAGAAATAAAGGGTTAAGGATGTAGCTCAGTACTGCAAAAGAAAAAAAAAGAAAGAAAGAAAAAGAAAAGCAAAAGCAAAAAGATGAGATCACAGAGCAAAGATAGAGGATGAATTAGGTTCCTTACTTTCTCCCATCTCCTACCCTCACTGTTTATGGGTTTTACATACTTAATAAATTATCATTTTTTTCTTTAAGGGAAAATGTGTTTCCTACAGACCTGAACGGCTGACAGCCTCTCCCAGACCTGGCCCCAGTTCTTCCCCAGCTCATCTCCTGGGCTCCATTGTTCCCCAAGCCCTCAGGTGTGACCCACTATGTATGTGCTTCTTGCTCTTCCCTTATTGATCTCAAACACATCTGGTTATTCTGATGTGATCTCACCTCCTCAGCTCCCCGCACCTGCTTTGCTCAAGGAGGAAATGTAGGCTCAGTGAGGTCAAGGTACTTGCCTGAGGCCCCAAGGAGGTATCTGTAGGGCCAGGGTCTGAGTCCCTGTATGTCTCACCTGCATGTCTCCCAGGGCATGAAACCAGTGTTGCTATTTTATTTTGTAAAGCTAGATCTTTATTGCTATCTGAGAGCCCCTGGAAGGCAGAGATATAATACCCATGGGATCTCATGGCCTTTCTGATGCGGAGCTGGGCTCCTGGAAGGTGCTTGCTAACAAGGATCCCTGTTTAAGCAATAGGGCCCAGCCCTGACCTCAGTGGGAGGAGGTTGCCTCCTTCAGGGTAACAGGATGCTGGCTGATACCTGACCATCTATGATCTCTATCTACCTCACGGCCTGAATGGTGTAATGTGACAGGGAGAAGGAAGTCAAACACCCTGGACAGGTGGGGCCTCATTTAGGCCACATGTGGCCAGGCTGGGCTCATGCAGATCACAGACTGTTACAATCACCTGATGAAGTAGACAGGATGGAGGTTGCTCTGTCCTAATATTGAGAGGCTCACATGCGTGGACCCAGGGCTTTTGACATTGCCACTGGTGGGGGGTTACTTGTAGCAAATGAGCTTCCTTGGTTACCCTGTGATCTGAAGAAGTCCATATGCCCTCTCTACCCCCAACGCACCCACCTGGTATCCATCCCCAATTCCAAGGGTCTCCTCTGCTGCTGCTGGCCACCTCCAGGCCCCATCCTGTCTGCACTGTGAAGAGAAAGCAGATTCCTGGCCTGGCCCTGCTGCTCTGGAATGCTGAGCTGGGCAGTGCCCTGTGGACTGTGTGTTTGCTAAGCTGGATTAAGCCTGGGGCCCATCTGGGCACTAGCAAGGGGGAGGCTTCCAAGGGCCCAGAGAAGGCCTGGCTGATCCAGGCAAGACCTAAACATGATCATTTCCACTGAGGTTCTATGACAGCTATACCTGGGGCTAGAAAGCTGTGTCAACCTCTTAGCAGGAGAGACTTTTGCTGACCCAAAACTCCCTACCAAACTATACATGTCCTGAATCATTTGAGGAGTACTGATGGACTCAAGCCAGTAGCCAGAACCAGTGTTTGGGTCCTGAATGAGTGCTGCCTTATTTCCCGCTCTAGAGTAGGCCCATAACCTACTCCTGGGACTTGGCATGGAGGGGCCAGATCCTAGGACTCTGTCTACACAGTCCATGATTATGTGACTAATTGGGTCAGTTGTCTTCAGGGTAGAGACAAGTTTCTAGTTTCCTGGCCTTGGTCCTTCCTACCACCCTATAAGGTTGCAAAGAGGTCCTGGTGAAAGGCCAACAGAGAACATGGGTGCTTCTGAGATGCAGAGGGGCTGGCCAGGGTGCAAGGTTCCCTGGATAATGTGGTTCTGCCTTGGTGGGGAGCTTATTGAGATACCCTAGTGCAGAGTGAGAACTTCTAAGCCCAAGACAGAAAAGGTGGGCTTCCCCCATCAGTTCTGACCCTACTTGGCTCCAGGCTGGGGAGTCCTGTCCCTGGTTGCCCACCCAGACTCTCCCTTCAGGAATTCTCCTTTCTGAGAAACTCAAACTGATGAAGGAGGTTGTGAGGGTTGCCCACTCAGGGGAAACCACACTGTGTGAATTTCATGGAAAATTTCTGTTGGTTACCTTAATAGGTATCCATGGGAGAGACAGATTCTCTGACCTGGAAACCTCTGCCCAGCTGTACCCCAGGAGGAGGACAAACTCTAATCGCTTTTGCTGTTCCTAATCCTAATCCTGCCAATGACCTCACTGCTCCTCAAAGATAAAGCAGGCATGGGGGTCAGACGGCTAACATGTGTGGCCTGGGAAAGCCTCTCAATTTCTTTGGACTACCAAGCCAGGACCCTCTCTGGTCAAACCAGATAGGGCTGCTTGGAAACAGTCTCCTCCACATTAATTTCCCTCCTAGATGGGGGCATGAGGAAGGTACCAGAGAACTGGTGGACACTGGGGTGGGTAAACATTGGGTTCACATAGATATGATGAGATAGGCTTAATGTCTAGAGGGTCTAGGCTGTGAGGTTGGCTTTATCTCCAGCCACTAAGACACATAGCAGGTCCCAGTAATCCTGGGCATGGAGAGGGCAGGAAAATGGGGTGTCTCCACCTGTGGCAGGGCCAGGAGCTTCCAGGCATCTGATGTCTTACTATAACAGCAATTTGGGAAGGCATCTTTTTTCTGCCTGTTACACCATAGAGGTTCTGGGGCTGAGGCTGCCCACCCACATGCTGATCTTCATGTAGCCATCATTACCATGGACCCTCACCTTTCACAGCCCTGGGAAGGACATGGCAGGGAGACAGTTTCCAAGTCACCTCCGCTTGGCCAAAAGTTCACACCAGGGGTCAACAGGTCTCGCCTCTCCTCCCACTGAGAAGTAGTGAGCTGGCATCATTTACACAAGAAACCCAAACTTAGTCCAGCAGAAAGGAGCAGTGCTGAGACTCAGGCTGGTTCTCTCTGGTTCAGAGTCTGCCACACTGAAAATGCTTGGCCATCTTAGCTACCCAAGATTTTGAGTGGGAACTCCTGGAATTCTGGGCTCAGCTTGGAGTTCCTCTGGCCAGCCAAGCTGCTATGTTCTGTATAACCACTATCCTGGCCCCATCGAGGCTGAGCTCTGAGGGCAGAGTTGAGTTAGCCACCTGCCTGTGTGGCTCTTCACATGGCACTGAGCACAGCCTGACCAGCAGCTGGGGCTGCAACCCTTCCCTAACACCAATGGGTTCTCCTTGATGTGACTCAGTCTTGGTGTTGGTAGGCAGATTTCCACTTTAATTAAAACTTTAAAATAGCCCTTTCCATATCCAAAATTGTTCACCCCTTGTGCACAGGAACCAGCACCATCTGGCTGCCGGTTTGCCAAGTTATTCAAAGACAATTCTAAAATCTATTTTTACTCATCTCCTCAGGCCCCAAGTGAGCAAGCTGTCAGAAGCAAAACAGGGGTCATCTGGACAGAAACCTGTCCCATGGGCCTGGGGAGGATCAGGGGCAGCTCCAGGCCTCTCCCCATTGCTTGGGTTGGCTCAAGGGGCCCCAAGTGGTCTCCTGGGCCATGATGAACCAAATGGGGCTTCAGAGAAGCCTTGGGGCACTCCCATAAGTAAGCTCTTTAGACATCAGCTTTATTTCTATGAAGTTTTGAGTGCCACAAGTTACTGACCTCTATCCACGTACCTGTCCTCACCAGCTTCTGCCTTCCAGTTTTCCCACTGTCCCCTCTCAACGCCTGGCACTGTACTCTTATAACTTTCTCCAACTGGACTATCCTCTCAAGCCAAGTCCATCTGTGTTCCTGATTGTGCCAGGCACCCTTCTCCATGGGTTTTTGCATATCCTTGCTGTCAGGATTTCATAGGTTTCCCCATCCCCAAAGCCAGCTCTTCTGTGGCTCTGAGCCATATTTCTTGTGAGATGCTAATTTCCTTGGCAAACTCAGGGACCCAGAGTGCAGGGTTGGTCTCTGCACCCCGGCTTTCTGTCCCTTTGGGCACCTCGATGGTCCTTGGTGTTTTATGGGGCTTGTCCTCTGGCTGGTTTTGCCCACTTGCTACTTACATAAAACCTATTCTGGGGAAGGATCCTCCTGCATCCTCTAAAACCCATGTTGGGGTGCTAAGGATTCAGTGAGCACGGGACCCTGTTCTTCTAGTGGTGCAGGCCCACACCTTGAAGGCTTCCCTGATGGCCTTGCTTTCCACCCATAGGCAGCTCTGCTAGCCCTGCCATCAACTCAGCATTGCCTGTTTCTTGCCAGCGCAGCTCTGCTCTCCCCAGCCTCTGAGTCTTCAATGGCCTGCGCTTGCCTTGCTGACAGCCCATTTTCCAAGCAGCGGGTCTTGCTGAAATGCCAGTCAGGTCATTTCACTCATTCTGAGTAGAAGGCAGAGAACTTTGGTGATGGCACACAGGTCCTGTGCAACTGGCCTGGTGTCCCCTCTGACCTTCCCTCCCCTGACTCTGAGCCTTCATTTCATGTGCAGGCAGGTGGGCATCCTTGTGTCCCAAGCACCTCTCACCTCCCGTCAGGGTTTTCCTACGACCTCCCATCCCATCCTGCCTCACTGGTTCTTTCTTCTGAAGGTCTTTCTGCTGATGATATTTTGTATCATCTACATGGTTGCAGCTCCCCAATGAGGATGCAGGGCCCATGAGGGCAGGGGCTGTGTACCTGGTGTCTAGAAGAGAACCTGCCTGGGTGGCAGAAGGTTTCCTGTGTACCTCAGTATCCACCAACAGCTGCACAGCTTCCTCCCCACAGAATTGCTCATAGGTACCTGCAGGGCTGACCTGAATTATGGCTCCTAAGGGCCATGGCAGGTTGGGTGGTCAGAGGGGCCTCTTCAAGAGTCACCAATCACAAGGAGCCTCTCCAAGCTCAGATGGGGGGTGCAGTGTCAGGAGTAATCTGCTTGGGTCCTACCTGTGGAGACCTGGAGGAGCTGATACTGCAAAGACCGAGTCCAGCTGTCAGCCCCACAAGGGGCTCAGTGCTGCAGGGATAGATAACCACCAGCACCTGCCACCTATTGCTCAGTGCCTTCTAGTGGGAACCATGACTGCCCTCTCTTGGCTGGAGCTGAGAGGAGGAGGAGGAAGAGCAGGTGTAAGTGGGTGGCATAAGAAGGTTCTGAGGGCTCTGTGGGTGAGAAAATGTGTCTGTGTGGTAGTACTTCCCATCCAGGCATCTCCACCCAGACCTACAGACAGAACTTGTCCCCACCCCCAGCCTGGGAAGGGAGCATCCACCTCGTCCTAGGGCAGACTGTCCTCCAGAAAGACCTCACAATACAATGGGGTTCTTCTGCTCTGGGCAAGAGCAATGGGGCCCAACTCAGCCAACTCCAGGTGTGCTGGGCCTGGGATACTGGTGGTGTGTTCCAGTCCTTCCATAAAGATCCTCCCCTTGGCCAGCAGCGGAGATGACCCAGACACAGAGGCCACTGGCTCATGCAATAGCCAGCCTGCAACCCCCAGACCAAATGACCATTCTAGGTCTTGTGGAGGCACCTGGATAATGCAGATAATGATGACAACAACAAAGCTATAATGACACCAACTTCATGTGGCTGTTGTGAGGCATAAAATCATAAGCAGGAGACTTGGGAGTCTCTTGTCACATCACCACCATCCCACAAGCCTGTCCTTCAAACAAGGCAGTTGCTTTATCACAAAGATAAATTTACAGGAAAAAAGAATAAGCCTGACCAGGCATGGTGGCACATGCCTGTAATCCCAGTGACTCAGGAAGCTGAAGTAGGAAGATCATAAGTTCTAGACAAGCCTGGGCAATTGAGTGAGACCCTGTCTCAAAAAGAATACACAAATAAAAATTTTAAGAAATGCAAAGGCTGGGGATGTGGTAAAGCATCCCTGGATTCAATTCACAGCACCAACCAACCAACAAACAACACCACCCTCCCCCTCAAAAAAAAAAAAAAATAGCAACAATAGAAAAAGCTTGGAGAGTTCCTTTTTCTTTCTTCCTTTTTTTTTTTGGTCCCGGAGATTGAACTTGAGGCACTTGACCACTAAGCCACATCCCCAGCCCTATTTTGTATTTGATTTAGAGACAGGGTCTCACTGAGTTGCTTAGCACCTCACTTTTGCTGAGGCTGGCTTTGAACTCGCAATCTTCCTGCCTCAGCCTCCTGAACTGCTGGGATTACAGGCATGCGCCACCAAGCCTGGCTGAGAGTTTCTTTTCTCTACTTTACATAAAATAAAACCCAAAGCATGAACTTGCTACGTGTA